TTTAAAAAAAAAATCTTGAATTAATGTTCAAAGTTGTCTGAATATTCATTTGTCTCAATAACATACATCCAACTTGTTTCTTTCATCCATTTACTGTTACACCAAGACTCACTCCTTATTTATTATTTTCTTTCAGTGCACCTTGTGCTCTTTTATTCTCATATCCCTAGAATGAATCAAGAAAATGTATGATTGCCATGATTTGAAATGATAATAAATTAATGAATATGTGCTTAAAAGATTTTTGCATTCCTTTGAAAAGAAATCCAAGATGATAAGAGAAAAATAAAGAAATGGTATGAACATAAAAAGGATTATTTGAAAAAAATGGTATAGAGATGAATTGATCGACATAGCCTGTCAAAGGTGATCAAATGATGAACATAATGTGGATTAGAGGACAGAGTTTATTCTAAGATGGCTAGTACTGAGAAGCCTGTGAATGGTGGTGAAAATAGTGTGGGTCAATAGATGAAAATTATATTGAAATTACTAGTACTGAAGAGCCTGTAAGTGGCGATTAAACGATATGGGGTAATGGACGAAACTTGTGTTGGAATTGTTAGTGCTGAGAAGCCTATGGATGATGACCAAGTGATGAAAATAATGATGATCAGTTGATGAAACTTGTTCCAAAGTATTGATAAGCTAAACAAGGAGAAAATGTGAGATGATGGAGTCGTGATAACCATATTACCACATTTTGATTAGAATTTCATAACTTTGAAATCTGCATTACATGCATTACATTAGCATTATTTTTTTTTTTTGGAAAATGTTTAAAACTTTGGCTTGGACATGCATTTGCATCATGGCATGGTAAGAATCTGGATTGTTGCATTTGCATCATTGAAAAAACATTTACATCTTTGATCATGAAATTCATTGTATGCATAATTTTAAGTCACTTGAAAAAGAAACTGGAAATCTTTTTATGAGGATTTTTGAACTCAAATGTGAATCTTTGAGTTTCAAATGAGAATCTTGAGGTGTGAAACCCAAAATTTATTGAATGTGAATCTTCAAACTCAAATGAGAATCTTTGAGTTTCAAATGAGAATCTTTAAGGTGTGAAACCCAAAATTTGTTAAAAGTGAATCTTCGAATTTAAATGAGAATCTTTAAATTTCAAATGAGAATCTTTTATATGTGAAACTCTAAGATTTCTTGGATATGAATTTCCAAAATTCAAATGAAAAACTTTGAACTCAACTTTTGGATGCGAATTTTTAAATTTTTGAGTAAGAACCTTTGAACTTAGATGTGAAACTCTAAGATTTCTTGGATGTGAATCTCCAAAATTCAAACAAAAAGCTTTGAACTCAACTTTTGGATGCGAATCTCTAAATTTTTTAGTGAGAACCTTTGAACTTAGATGTGAAACTCTAAGATTTCTTGGTTATGAATCTCCAAAATTCAAACAAAAAGCTTTGAACTCAACTTTTGGATGCGAATCTCTAAATTTTTTAGTGAGAACCTTTGAATTTAGATGTGAAACTCTAAGATTTCTTAAATGTGAACCTTTGAACTCGAATAAGAAGCTTTGAACTTTTGGAAGTGAATCTCCAAAATTTGAATGAGAAATGTTAGATGCAAGTCTTGCAATTTGCAAATGTGAATCTTACAAATATGAATTCTTGTGTACCTAAAATCTTACAAGTTTGAATTCTTGTGAAACTGAAGTTTTGAGAATTAAATTTCAGCGAATTCTTTTGAAGCTGAAAGATTCTTGCGAATCTGAACCTTTGACTTTCAAACTCAGATTGCGAATCTTTAAGTTTTCATTAAAAATTTTATCGGGTTTGATCTATGACTCCTCGACAATCACTCTAGACATGATTCTCTATAAGCAATTTATTTTTTTTCAAAGTTGTTGAGCCTCTGATTAGAAGAGCTTTGTTTATTTTTCCAAAGTCCTTGAGCCTCTGATTATAGGAGTTTTGTTTTTTTTTTTTAAAAGTCATTGAGCCTCATATTAGAAGAGTTTTATTTATTTTTTCAAAGTCGTTGAACCTTTGATTAGAGGAGCTTTGTTTATTTTTTCAAAGTTGTTGAGCCTCTGATTAGAGGAGCTTTGTTTATTTTTTTTTTAAAAAAAGTCGTTGAGCCTCTATGTAGAGGAATTTTGTTCATTTTCCAAAAATTGTAAACTTCTACTTAGGGATGTTTTGAGTGGCTAATTTAATATATATATATATAAACAAAAAATGTTAAGTTGAGTCTTAATCGGGTGTCTACGTCTTTGCACAATTCTTGTTTTACAAAAAATGTACAAACAAGGATAACTGTAGACACCCTAATTGGTCCCGGCCCAAGCCCATTAGGCCTAGCTCAATAGGGCTCGGTCTATTAGGCTCAATTGGCCTTTTTTTTTTTTTTAATTTTTAACTTTTAATTTTTTGGTTTTATTTTTGGGCTGATTATTAATCTACGTTTTTTGATGCTTTGTAGATTTATCTATTTTTTATTTTTATTCATTAGTTTTTTTGTAAGGGCTAAAAAAAGGAATAAAGGAATATTCTACTGTGAATGAATTCTAGTTAGATTTAATCTTTATTGTGAGATAAGTTTTAAGTGAATTCTTGATTAATTAGGGACTCTTCAGTTTGGCCCTATAAATACACAAGACATACACAGAAGCCAAGGACAAAAAAATAGAAATAAAAAATCACAAACAAAAAGCAAATAGAGAGAGAAAATAAAAAAAGAAATAGAGAGCAAAAAATAAAAGGCATAATTCAAAAAATTTCTAAAGGATGTCAAAGGCAATTTTAAGATTTTTTAGGATTTTTTTAAAATTTTTGGAGTTTTTTTCTAGAAAATTTTTGAAAAATTTTCAATTTTCATTGAATTTTTCAGTGTCGGTTAAATTTTTTGATGAATTTTTCACCACCGTTTGAATTTTTCGATAAGAAATTCTAGAATTCACTGAAGATTTCGGTTAAAGTTAAAATTTTCAATGAACTTTCGATGACTTAACCCAGATTTCGATGATAATTTTTAGAATTTGGTTGATATTCAACGGGTGTTCATCTAGGTAGAGAGAGAAGGGAGAGAAAAGAAAGGGGAAGAGAGAGAAGGAGAAGGAAAGATCTGAAGCAGAAAGAAGGAATTTGGCATTTTATAGGGCCCTGAAACGATGTCGTTTTAGAGTTAAGTGACTACCCAGGATCCGCACGTTTTCATTCAAGTGACCTGACCTAAGCACAACCCGCTTTTGACCCGAGTTTAACCCTTGTCTCAGCCAATCTTTTCAGCCGAACCGAGTCACCAAGCCGCATCATCCAAGCCGTTGTCTGTGCCTGGAGCTGAGCCGCGCCGAATTCCCAACCGAGTCGTTTCGATTTTTTTTGTATTTTTTATTTTATTTATTTTATTTATGTGTTTGTTTATTTTTAAAAGTATTTTTGTATGAATAAATTTAAAAAAGAATATATAAAATATAAAATAAAATTTTTAAAAAAAGCATTTTTGAAGAAAATTTGAAAATATCAATTTTTCTTAAAAATAAAATTTTTTAAAAATTATATTTTGAGAAAAAATTGAAAGTATCAATTTTATTTTAAAATAAAATTTTTTAAAAAATATTTTTGAGGAAAAGTTGAAATTATCAATTTTTCTCGAAAACAAAATTTCTAAAAAATATTTTTAAAGGAAAAGTTGAAAGTATAAATTTTTCTTAAAAATAAAATTTTTAAAATAAAAATTTTCAAAAACATTTTGAGGAAAAGTTGAAAGTATCAATTTTTCTTGAAATTAAAATTTCAGAAAAAAATATTTTGAGAAAAAGTTGGAAGTATCAATTTTTCTTAAAAATAAAAATTATCAAGAAAAATATTTTTAAGGAAAAGTTGAAAGTACCAATTTTTCTTGTATAAAAGCAATGAATTTTTTTATATAAAACAAAAAGAAAAATATTTATATCAAAAGTCGAATCATTTTTTTCTTTCTTTTTTTGGAAAATTTTTAAATATTAAATAATCCGATGATAGAGCCTCTGCAAGAGAAACAATAATTTTCTTGCATACTCTTAAGGTGAGAAAATTTTCTTAATTTTCTATCAAAAGTATTGAAATTAATTAAGGATAATTTTCAATAATTAATTACTTGATAATTTTTAAAGTTTATTGGATAACACAAAATCGAGCTGGTACCATCTTCTAATGGGCGTTATGAGGATGTTATAATCTTCCTTATACGTACCGTACTCCCGAACCTAATTTTGATTTTGTAGATATTGAAATTACATTTTAGAGATACCTAAGTTAAACTTAAGAATTCTTATTAAAAATGATAGATTCAATTAAGTGATCAATCGTATCTAAATAAAAAAAATTATTGATGATTTTTCAAGTCAATATCTAATGATAAATTCTCATATCCAAATATAATGATATATCCATCAAGATCCTCAAACCTGATCCAGGCAAACGAATTGGATATATAACGAAGAAATATCAGTTGCTTTCTAGTTTGATCTTTTGTCTATTTTTTTGTTTTTTTATCAGGTTAGGCCAAAAGAAATCAAATCACCTCGAGTTTCGATGACCTAAACCATTTGTGTCTTTTTTTTTAATCACGTCATAATGTTTCACATCTCTCCAAAAAGGTCCCCCTCTGAAACCTTTCTGCTGTTTTGCTATCCTTTAAAGTCAAAAACCTTGCTCTTGAAGCTATAATAATGAAATAAATAATAGCTAACGAAAGTATGAAACCAATTGAATTTTTGGTGGATTTTGTTCGAGGATAAGCTTAACATCGATGCTTATATATCTTTTTTTTTCTTTTTTGTGCATGTGTAACGATTTGTGAAAATGAAGTGGTCAATTATATCTTCTTTTTAGGTACTGATCAACAATGAGGAGATTCTACCATCATGGATAGCAATCTTATTGAATACCCAAACTGGCCAATTTGCTCTAAGAAAAAAAAAAAAAAAAGATGCAAAGCTTTAGATAAAGCACTTCAAAGTTGCTTATTGAAATAGAATTCTGTACGGCAACTATTTCCAGACTTGACAACATGCCTCTGTTCATATTAACCTGAAATTCATTTGATATTGTCCCATTGTCCTCTCTGCTTTACTGAACGTCCAATGCAGTTTATTCAACATTTCCAGGGTGTATACCAGGACAAACAAAAATATTGCCATCCACCAATACTGACAAAACTTGGAAGAGAATCCAAATCCCAAAAAGTAGAGCAATGCTTGCACCACTCCAATTTGATTCGATTATGCTCTTCAGACATTATTCTATACAGAAGCTGAATTAAATATAAATTAGCATAACAAAATTTTCTTCTTTTTTGTTCCTTTTTTCTCTCAATCGATGAGAAAAATTGAGCAGGGGAATTGTCCCACCCTTACCTACTTATCACCTCTACTAGGAAACTAGTGCTTCATTTGGATGGCCAGTAAGAAGGGATTCAAGGATTCCCAACATGCCGCCATCGCGATGTTTTATCATTGAAGCTCTCCAGCGATCAAACCACGTGAGATCCAATGAAGTACAATGACAAAATAACAGTGATGACAATCCCTTCCAAATGAAGCATAAAACAGGATTTCATGACCCTGATTCACTCTAGGAAAATTTTTATTAAAAGAACAAGGGAAAGGAACACATAAAGCTATTTTAGAAACTCAAGATTGTGGTGGATTATGATAAAAATTGACTTAGCAAGTCATGAGCTTCACGATTGAATTACAAACGGAAGAATCCTCGCTAAAAAAGCCTTCAAGCCTTATAAACAGAGATTGGTAGATACCCTTGAAGTGTCAGAGGACTAACAGTTAGAAAGCAAACATCAAACAAGATGAATTGAACAGAGGCATTAAAACTGCTTCATTGCTACTTCAAATCCAGATGACTCCACTGGATTTACAGCGCCAGGGAAAGAAAAAAAAAACAATTCAATAAAAGTTCTAAGGCCTCCTAAGAAGGGAAACACTATGTTATACTGCTATAGCATGTAATACAATTCACAACAGGGAATTAATGGTTGGTGATAGTAAGATGTGATCCAAGGGGCCATAGGGAACTTAGCAAAAGGGGTACATATTTGACAACATCACCTTTAACTCAGCTACTGATATGTCACACAGATGGGAAATATTTGTTTAGATTGAAGGGAAGTGAATAAAACTCTTCACTCCTCGAATCAAACTTGAACGAACGGAACTTGTCCCACCAGTGCTTACCTCTGTCCTTCCTAGTTGCACTGTCCTTGGGATGCAATGTGTTATCAAGGAAATATGCCAAGCAACCCGCAACAAATGGTTCTGATGAAAAAGGCACATTTACAATGTCGTTGAACTGTTAAGAATTGCATAAAATCTGTCAGTACAATCCCGTTAACTATAAAATGATTATAACAAAAGGTTGTTTAAGATTAAAAAGTTAAAAGAGATTCAGTATCGATACCCATCTCGAGCTTGTGTGAACAGGACCGTAGCCATTAGTTGCAGTATACTCGTTGAAGTACTGTGGCACAGATAAGCCCATAAAAACCGAGAAACCTAATATAAGCTTTGTACGGAAGCTGTTGAGGTTGCAGAACTGAAGAAAACTAAGACCTCCAGCACCTGCAGAAACATAAGGAAACAGATAAATATTTGAAACAGCTTATTATAAATCATAGATCCACATGTTTGCTTGAGAACAGCTCAAATCAGACACGTACCAACATAAGCAAAGAATATGCAGTACAAAGCAGCAATAATGGGTGCTGGAATTGAAGCAAAGACAGCTCCGAATTTCCCTGTGCATTAATTATAAAAATCAACAACTAATATGAAAGAAAAAATGCTCAAGGACTATTTAGAAAAGAAAAAAACTCATAAATAACCAAATTACCAAGAATGGAGAAGAAAATCATAAATCCTGCTGAGATTTGGACAACCCTTCGACTGCCAACTCGTGTCAAGGCTAAAAGACCAGCATTCTCTCTGTAGAAACACCAAATTCAGTATAGAGCTTCTGTTTTTGATTAATTGAACAGCGAAAAAAGGTCCAACAATAATGTTCATTGCTAGTAAAAGCCTTACACAGAGACCGAGGATCCATTGACAGTTCCAAACAACCCGGAGTTCAAAATTGCAACTCCCTAAAGCATGCAAAAAAGGAGTTACTTCACAGAGGATAAGAATTCAATATTAATAAGAAACTGAAGTTCACCAAACAGAGATGAAATTTCCAGATGTTAATGGAAATGTAGGATCCTGGCTCCTGGACCAACGATGATGAATGAATGTATATGAATTTGTGTACTTTTAAGCACAAGGTTAATAGTGGAGCGATCCCAAGAGACCATGGAGTATGAGAGCCAATTTAACTAATAGTCTTAATTGCACAATATTTCTTCACATCATAGGCATATGAATCAACAAGCTTTAAATTACCAGCCAACCAATACCACGGCTAAGAATAGATGGTGGCATTGGAGTTGCACTTGCATATCTTGACACCGCAAAAAAAGCCCCAGTGGACTGTTCATGACATTGGATAGGTGAAAAGTTAGTAAACTTTGAATTACTGAATAACACTGCAATTAACTATTAACTTTCTAAAAGTATGAAAGAATTTGCTCCAAAGCATGTTTAAACAGCAGTATAGAAAATGAAAACACCAAAGAAAACTGAAAAAGATTATACTTTTAACCCCAGGGGAGAAAATGAAAAAACTTTGAGTTTAGCTGATACAACAAGAGTTGAAATAAAATGGCAGTTCAGGAAAGCCAATAAGAAATGACATGAAAGGAAAAAGACAGCAAGGAAAGAAATAAATGATGACAATGACACTCAATTCAGTTTTTAGTAAGAAGAAAAGAAAAGATTTTAAAAGTTAATAAATTCATAAATGGCAGAAGAAAACAAACCTCTACAAGAGCAACAAAAGAAGCCATCATCATGGCAAAGGCTTCACCAGCATCAAATGAAGGTGCTCCCCATTGAAAGGGATAAGGAACTCTTATCCTGCACACCCCTAATTCTCGTAAGGAACGAATTATGACCATGCCATTCTTGACAAATGATATCACATTATGGTGAAAGAAATCTTAAGGTTGTTATCAAACACAAGACACAAGTCCAAAAGTGCCTTTTGTAACTTAGATTCTGTATTCAATTCCTAATACATTTGAAGTTATGAAGCAATCTTAGGACCAAAACTGTTGACACTTCTAATAAATTACTAATTAACATTTCATAGAAGGGCAACTAGAGCTAGGATTTAGTACATCACAAGCTTTATCCAATATGTACAAAGATGGTTAATTTTTATAAGCAGAATTTTTCTCAGATAGGACATATGAACACTGGTCTTTCCAAATCAGCTTGCCCATACTTTAAAATGCATGACCTTACCCATTCCATTGATAGTGAAACCAATAGACAAGGTAATGTGCCCTAGTCTCAAAAGTTGTCCATGTGCACCTCATCTCAAAATAAATAATTACTAGGTAAAATCAAGCACGATATACCAATTGAGAAACACAAAGGTGACAACTGCTCTAAGGATGCATGAACTCACCATGGAGCAGCATCTATTAGACCAGCACGGTCAGTGCGGCAGCTTACTTGTGTCTTTGGTGCTTTACCATTATAAGCTCCACCCACAGTGAGTAAATGAGCATAAATCCAAACAACCACCACAGAAAATACGACAGCAAATCGATCAAAGAGGTGTCTTCCAGATTTTATCACATGAGGCATGTACTGCAAAATAAACACAGACAAGCAGTGATTATTTGATAAAAATTACAGTTTCTAAAGTCAAATGAGATCAAAAGTCATAAATATGCAAGACTATAACTATACAATGGATAACTGCATGTCCCGAAAACTATAAGACACTACCTGTGAGATAAATACTATAAGAATTAGCTGAGGCAGTCCAATCTCCACACATTTGGCAACCTGATAATTGAATCAATAATCAACATTCATGGTGATGACGTTATGACACCACGTCAGATTATGCATTCACATAGTGTATCATACAAAGCAGAGACTTACCCCAGGAAAACCAAACTCATAAAGCCCAAAACCAACTAGAGATACCAAAGGAACAATTGAAAGTGGGCTTAAAAACCTGAAAAGTGGAAAAATAAATCCATATGATTAAATGAGTTAACTGAAAATGTGTCACTAAAATAGTTGACTTTGTTCTACATATACCGTAGCAAACATTCATGTGAATCAGCATGAATCAAATATTAGTCCAAGAACCTATAATTCAAAAACTGAATCCACTTGCCGCAACTAATATTAAACACATAAGACCAAAACACAATCAATTTAACTCCAATTTGCTTACAAGGAAAAGCATATATAGCCAAGCTGTTCAAGCTTTCCCTGAAATATTAAGCACTAGTTAACTAACCTAGTAACATTACGCCAAAGGCCACTGAAGCCAAGGACAATTTGAAGAGTTGAAGCGACAATGAGGGAGCCCTGAATTGCCCGCATTATCCTTTTAAATCTCTGAAAAGGCATCAAAACACAATATTTAAACAAACCAAAGAAAACACCTATATGCAGAATGTTGGTGTTCAAACTGGACAACTTAATTACTCCTTTTTCTATATATTTACTTTTTCAAGTAAAACTACAAAAAGTATCTACAAAATGATACCTTAGAACAAAAATGGTTTGTAAACTCCTATTGAGAAAAAACGGAATGCATTCTAAACATCTTTATACTGTTCTTCCAATGGGACATTGAAGAGTTAAGGCACAGTCTCACATCAATAATACTCGAGCTTGATAGAAATTGTGTCCCATATTGCAATTAGGTTAATGCTTGCTTCTCCAAATCAATAAACAACTTTAGCAATTCCAAAGTCCAAACAAACATCACCTAATATAATAAAATCGAGTTTAGATCACAAAACCTCGATAGGATCTGTAGTATCACTGAACCGACCAGCAAGGATAATTGAGATTGTTGTTGGGACAAAGGTATAAGATCCTCCAATCACAGCAGGCAATCTAGACCCAAAGAGTGTCTGCAGCAATGTGTTCAAACCAGCAACAAAAAGTAGAGTCTGGATAACCTTTGCTTTCTCCTCCTATAAAGGTCATTGAAATAACATGATTTAAATTATTATGTACGGGCAAAATACCATAGTAATCAAAGTAAGTAACAATTGTTGAATGTTAATCAATTTTCTTTGGGCCTTACATTTCCACCTCCCATCTGGGGAACGAGAGAAGTGGGAATGATCACTGTCGTGCCAAGCATCACAAGATAATGTTGAAAACCAAGAAGGATGGCCTCAGCTGCATAAAATACGGACCAAAATTTCAAGAGATTAGTTGCGATTTTTTCACCGTTGTAGAAATGCTAGCTATAACCACAGTTAATCACATACTAGCCAACAAAGCTATATCCACAGTAGTTATGTAAATGTTCAACCCACATCAAGACAACAAATGGAAATTTCCTCAATTTATTTGAAGTGGAGATAGAAAACCCCAGAGAAATTGAAGATAGTGAGGAGGAAGTAGAGGTGAAAGACAAATAGAAAGAGCCAAATAGAAGAGGGAAAATGCTAACAATAATGAACCAAAAGGAAGTCAACTAGCAGAGAGAAGTTGGCTTCAGATTAACTCTAACCAAATCAATAAGCATATGACTAGAATTACAATCCTTAGCTACCCAAGGCACATAGAGGGAAAGAAATTTTTAAAAATAAAAATAGTACATATATAATTTATTCAATGAAATAAACCCAAAAATTAGTACTTGAATTATTAAAATTTAGTTATGTATTCTTTTTCTTTTGTTTTGTTTTTTCTCATCCTCACAGAATTAGAATAAAAAAATTAAAAATCAAAAAGTTTTTTTTTTCTTTCTTGCAGAGCAGGGGCATTTCACTTTTCCAAAAAGGAGGGGTATCCAAGCTGGAAGAAGAACCAAAAAAAGCTACTTACTTTCAGCTAAAAAAGAATTTACAGAAGATGCATATCCAAAAACAATGACTAATACCAAAGCCTTAACTAAAACATTCCCTGGGGGATTCACAAGAATCACACTCTGAACCAACTAAAAATCTAACAAAATACCTCAGGTACTGAACATAAAATTTAGAATCTAAACTGAAAAAACTATGAAAGAAAAACAGAAGAGTAGGTTTGAAGAAACTCACGCCATGGAGGTGGACTTGTAATGCAATAAGAAACGTTGGGCAGCTGTTCCTTTGGTGGATGTGGCTGTGGCTCATCTGCTTTTGCTGGAGCTCCTCCTCCTGCCATGATCTCTTTCTTTCTCTCTATACAAAAAACCAACCTCTTAGAACAGCAAGAGTAAACCACCAAATCTGAGAACTACCAGATCCCAAATCCTGAAGAAAGTAGCTAAAACAGCAAGAAAATGGAGAAAAGAAAGGGGAACAAGATGACCGAAAAGGCCAAAAGAGTTGGCCACTTACATGCGCAGCTACTTAAAAATATAGAGCTAATAAAGGGAAGACAAATGAGGAGATGGGGTAGCCTGGGAAAGTTTATGGGACGAAAAAAAAAAAGAGGAACTAAAGATAATGAAATCTTCACGAAAGATTTCAACTTGAAAATAAGAGAAAGATGAAATGAAATGTGGGGGGAGCAGGGAGGTGTTAATAATTGCAATTGCAAAATAATGAGCCAAAAAGGAAAGGTTCTTACAAGGAGAAGACAGTCCCTTTTGGCAAACTTCAAAGCAAAATCAAGTGAAAAGGCATTAAAGTCAATAATAAATCATGTTACCCCACTTCACCTAAAAATTCTTCACAGTTAAAAAAAAAAAAAAAAAAAAACAACAACAACAGAGCAAAAACAGCAGAGAAAAATTAAACAAATCCAGGAGTTTTTTGAAGCAAGAGAGTAGAATGGGAAATTTTTATGAGAATTCAGAAATGTGTAAGCCAGTTAAGATTGAATTGAATGATAAAAAGGAGTTTCAACTCACTTTATACTCAAGCTTTCTTCTTTTTTATTCCCACTATTTCCCTCTTAACACTTTATACGAAGTTCAAAAGGTTTTATGTTCTTGTCTGAAAACTACAGTTTCTTAATTTAAAATTAAAAAAAAAAAAAAAGTTAATTAGGGGGTCTCACCGTGCTGGTGCATGTTTGTCCACCATAAGGTTTTAACTTTTCTTTTACCTTTTTTGGATAGGAGCGTTTCAACTAAAATAATCTTTACTATACCAACATAATTAATCAATCACATTAAAAAAAAATGTTTTATAGAATCGTTTTTAAGAACGACACACTATTTTAAATATTTATTAGTTAATTACGGGTGATAGGTTTTTCATAAGATATAATAGTTTGGGTTCCATTATATAATCGATTTTTTTTTGGAAAGTCACTCGATTATCGTTTTAAAAATTAACATTCAAAATTAAAAATAAAATAGGAGGCATTTAATTTACGGATTTTTAGATTTTGCAAAAAAATGACATTAAATGAGAATAAGTGATTCTTAAATTTTATTGATTTAAAAATGTAAGATTTTTATATTTAATTTAGATGAATATAAAATTATTTAATAAAATCATTTATTATATATTTTTTTATAATATGTAAATAACATGTTATATTTATAATACATAATAAATAAATAAAATATGACATTCATAATATATGATACGTAAATAACTTATTATTTTATTTTTAATTATATATTCTCAAAATATATTAAAAATTGTAAGAAATAATTTTTTATATTTTCAACAAATATCATATTTTTTTATCTTAAGTCTTTATTAATTTTAAAAAATATATTTTTTCATATTTTTAACAAAAATTATATTTTTTTATTTTAAAAACATCGTCTTTGATCAATTCTAAAAAATAATTTTTTTTCATATTCTTTACAAAAACCATATTTTTTATTTTAATAATGTCATTTTTGTTGAATTTTGACAAATAATTTTTTTTCATATTTTTAATAAAAATCATGTTTTTAATCATAGCTTTTATTAAGGAATTCAATAGCACCGTATATTTGTTTAAAATATTAAAAGACTATATTTTTTTATATAAAAACGTAATTTTTGTTAGCAAATAGCACATTTTTACCTAAAAAACATACTATTTATTGAAATTATGAAAATTTAAAAAATAAATTTTCTCATAATATATCAACAAACAAAATATAAAAAATAAAGTATAATTTTTTTCATAATTTATTTTCAATAAATATCAATTTTTTAATTTTAAAAATGTGATTTTTGTTGAAAATATAACAAAAACCACTTTTTTAATCTAAAAACATGATCTTTATTTAAAATATATTAATAAATTTTTTATTTTGGTGATATTAATTTTATAAACAAATTATTACATTTTTAAAATAAATAACATTATTTATACAATCCAAAAATACAATTAAATAAGAACAAATGGAAAAAAATTCATTTTTTCTAGAAAATCTAAAAAAATTTCATGGGCATAACAGTTTTTTTTTTATTTTCCTACTTTTTCCTTTCTTAACACTGTTTGAAATTTTAATAACATTTTGTAAATTAAAATCAAAAATCAAATTATTAAAAAATAAGATTTCAACCATAAATTTTATTTTCTCCCAAAACAAATACCCCATTAAAGCATTCTATTGCTTTTCTTTAGGTATTTGGTTGCCTATATAAATATTTTTAATAATTTATTAATTTCATAAATATTAGATATATATTATAAATTTTATTATATATAAATTTTAATATAATATTTTTAATTATTACTTTATTTTTTATGTATATTTATTTATATCCAAACATATATTTTATCACTAATTTTAATTTTATCATTAAACTATCTAATTTCATTAGTACAACAAATAATTTCATAATTATCATTATTTTTAATTTCTTTAAAGTCAATTTCACTGCTGAGTAATTTCGAGTGAACTCTGAGATAACATTCATTTATTTTTTTCTTTCTCCAATTTTGATAAAAATAAAGGTAGAAAGTAGAAACTTCATTGAAATTTTATATTGACAAGGTAAAGAAGAGAATCATAAACGACAACGTTGGGTATTGGCTTTCCTAGCAAATCAACTTTTGATTAAAATTAAAAAGTTGAACTGTTTAAGGGCTGCATTTAAAGGTATTAATGATATATTAGAAATTATAAATTATTCGAATTCAATTTAATTATATCGAATTGAGTTTGTATATTTAATCAAATCGAGTTCAAATATTTTTATTTTTGGTTCGAATAACTTATGAGATCAATCAAATTTTTATATTTTAATTATTTTAATTAATAAGATATCTTAAATTTGAATTCAAATTTAAGTATAAATAATTAAATTTTTATTAATATAAAAATAAAATTTATTTTTATATGCTAATCGAACTTAATCAAATGAGTTCGAATAATTTTATTTTTATCTCAAATTGAATTCGAACTAAAAAATAAAACTCAATTAAATTCAAACTAAATTTGAGTCTCAAATTTTGAATTAAATTTAAACTCGAGATTAATATTATATTGATTCGAATTCAATTGATTATATCCTTAATACATCTATTTTTGATAAAACCTACACGATCTTGTCCTGAAAATGACGGTATTGACCTCTGGAAAATTGGCATCAACGTGGGCATGTTTCAAGGAACTTTGTACCTCAAATGATTGAAGGGTGGGGGCAGTTTGGGGAATTGAGAAAAGAGATCATGTGGGGAGCAGTATATATTAATTGGGATATCCTAAAACCAAGGGCCAATAGGGCAAAAAAGGTTGAAACATTTTCAAGACGGTCAAAGCAAAACCGACACATTCCCAAGGGTAAAAATGTGCCCTAATAATTCTTAACACTTCACTAACAACTGGCAGGCAGCCCTGTTTAACTTATCTGTTCAACTTTTTCCTTAGCCCAAAAGGGCCAAACACCCTTGAATTTTGCCAATAGGTTAATATTGCTTTTGTTCAAAATTAGGGGAATTTGAGATATGGCTCAAGATTTTTGTATACTTTCAAAATTATAAACTTTTTTACTTTCATCTAAATTTTAATTTAAATCCATTATTTTTAAATTTATAATTGACTAAAGTTCTGTTTGATAAACTAAAAAATTAAATGTTTAAAAATTAAGTACTTAATTTTTAATACTAAATTTGATAAGTATTGAATTGAAATTATAAAATTTATTTTGTATTTTACTAAAAATTTAATGCTGCATATAAATATATTGTTTGATAATTATAAAATTTTTAAATTCTGAAGACTTATAATTTTTATTTTATTTTTTTATTTTCACTGTATATAATGTAATGATTTTAGGGGATAATAATTAAAAAAATCTAAAAGAAATATTTAATCAACATTTTTTGTAATAAGTGATAAGTGGGTCTATATCTAAATATCTTATTCAATACTTTTTGACTAAAAATTTTTTAAGTAAATTTTAAAATATGTTATCAAATACATTGAAAAATAAAATTAAAGAATTAAAATTTTTCATTTTCAATGTCACGAAAATTTTCGAAGATTTATTAACATAAGGCCTAAATGTTTAAGTTCGAAAATCTTTATATTTACTAGGTCTTTAATAATGCACTTCAATTTCAAAACTTGATGGTTCAATTTATTTTTAATAAATTTCTACATTCAATCAAGTAAGCAATTGTGTTTTTTTTATCCTTTGGAAAGGTTTAACCTAATTATCCATGAAAACGATCAATTCTCTTTAAAATAAATATAATATTTAAATTTTAAATTTTAATTCAATTAATTTATATAATTATTTTTTATATTCAATAAATTTAACGTTTCAATTTAAACATCTATAATTTTTTTTTATCACAAAATTACGATTTTTCTTTTATACAAAATAAGATATTCTCTTTTAAGAAAATAAAATTCAAACTTAATTGTTTGAAGTTTAATCTTTTTATTTAGTCAGGTGCCTAGTATTTTACCGTATTTAAGACATATCCTCCATGGCCAAATGATCTTAGATATCCTTCACTAATCATTATTAATAATAAAACTATTTAAGCGTCAGGTTATTCATCCAAATCCGAAGATCTGTTTAAATTTTAAAAGAATTTTGATAAAAAATAAACATTCATTAAACAGATTTGAGTATAATTTTAAATCTATTTAAATATTAAAATGTCTTAAATAAAATATTTAAAAACCCGAACCTAACTTAAATTTACATATATATAAACTTTTTTGTTTTTATATATATATGTAAATTTTATATAAATTAAAAATAAAAATTATATATTTTATTAAATTTAATTTTTATTTTAAATTTTAATATGTATAATTTTTATTTTTAATTTATATATATATGAATTGCATATAATCTTATTAGACTTAATTTAATCATATTTTTTAACATTTTTATTATATAAAATAAAATTAATTAGTGAATTTACGATTTTATTTTTTTAATTTAGACTATATTTGAAAAAAATTTAAGTTTAAAACTTCAAACCTAACCTAGGCAAAAAAATAAACTATTAATATCAATTTTGAACCTGACTTGAACTCAGCCCATAAACACCTTTACTCATAGACTACTCCCATGTATTTTCTTGTTACTTTGTTTTGTTTTAAAAATTATAATTATAATTAAATATTATATCATATATAAAAAATTAATGAATTAAATTAAACAAATCAACAGATCAACAAACCAAATATAATTAAATAAATTTAACATAAAATGAAATTAAAATCATATATAATAAAACTTAAACATAATATTGAAAAAAAAAATTCTTACCATTAAAATAAAACTTCATTAACTGCAGTAGAATATAATTAATAAATAACATTACTATTCTTTCTCATATATTAAGTTGATCATTCTTAGAGGCCCGGCTATGGTTGGATATAATTTCAGCCACGCCTAATTCCACATCCATTTATTATGAAACTATGCATTAATAAAAGGATAGATACTAGACCATTGAGTCAAGCTATAGATTCATCATAAATGGTTTTAACATTTAAAAGGTATAGAGCAGGAATGTAGGATGAGACTCGATTTATATATATTGTATCTGTATCTTATAAAATATGAGTAAAATATGTGTAAATCATAAAAAATTATTATGTCAAATTTATAATATACGTCAAATATAAAATATTTTTTTAATTTTGTTAAATTTGTATATAAGTTGTATTAAAATTTTAAATTATATAATTTTAATTTTTTGTATTATTTTTATATTATGTCATTATATTTTATTTAAAATTAATCATTTTTTTTACAAAAAAAATCATAATCTAAATAAAATAAATTACATATACCCAACTTTGAATTTATTCTCTATCAAGGTCACTTTATTTCAGGTTAATTTAAAAGCCGCTATCAAAGATTAATTTTGTCAAACATGTGTTGTACTTTCAAATTTCAAAGATTATTCAAGGAAAATGATATGTAGAGAGCGGCTTAGGCTTGACCGATAAAAGCCTTTAACAATGGGGACGAAAGGGTAAATAGTAGCATATGGGTGCGAATCTTGGTGGGGACCAATGAAAAAGCTTGCTTGAAAGAATTTCAAAGTTTTACCTTGTTTTAATAATAATTAGAAAAATTGGTTGTGCCCCACGATGGAATCCAAATGGATTAACCACATGGCCTTCAATTGGACCACCATTTAATTGGGATTACTATACTATATAGATTATAGATTTTATAACTTAATGTGCAACATATACATGAACACTCCAATACATTATCATATATGAATTTCATCCAATTACTTTTATAATGATTTGTTTGCTTGATTGCTTTATTATAATTCCCAAATTGATTATTTGCAACTGATCTCATGAATCAAGGTTTTGTTGTGTAAATGAACCTATCAATATATTTTTAAATTAATGGAAAGGTGCTTTGTGATATTAATCAATTCATTTCTGATTCTGATGTTACTCTTAAGCTACCATGCCCATCCCAATGGATCAAAACAAAACTAGGTAAGATGTTCATTGCCAACAATTATCAGTGTTTTGCTCCTTCCAAGACTCAACCTCAGCAGAGATAGATGTTTTTGTCTTCTTTTGTTACATAACATACGTGCAAGAACACTGAAAAACTTGACAGAGTCAATTTTAATATTTTAAAAGAAATATTAATTAATAAATTTATAATTTAAATTTAATATTAAAAAAATATTTATTCATTATACGCCATTAATTAAATTAAATTATATTAATTAGAAGGAAATATTAGGGGTAATGATGAAGTTAATCGAAGTGAGGAGGGAAGAGGGAGAGAGAAAAGGGTTAGGGGGAAGCAACAAGAGAGAACGTGGAGGTAGCTTTCAGTTATTTAGGGGATACCCAACCTTTGCTGATGGAGGGACCGCTTATTGGGAAATTCTCTGTCGTCTTTGAATTTTGGAGATATGGTTGTTTCGGTGCTCTTTCAGTCTCTCTTTCTTGCTTTTTCTTCATGAAAAAGGGGCTTTTATTATTTTTTTTCTTTTTGTTTTTCTTTCAGCTTTTGCCTTTATGATGATGATTCTGTTGAGATATGAGAATTACATGTGAGTTTGGTGAGCCTTTATAGTCTTTCTTTTTTCTTTTGCTTATATAATGGACGATTATTTTAAGTGACAAAAAAGTATATATATATTTTTTATTGTTTAAGTTTGAATTTGTTAAAAAATTATGAAAAAGTAATTTTTTATAAATTTATCAAATTTAATGGAAATAAATTTATTTAAATTAATTAAAAATATTAAAGAGATCTAAAAATCACGCTAAATTTAAAAGAAAAAAAAAACATGCACATGCATATTGGGGTTAGACACCGACTGATGTGTTTAATTGCCCTATCTCTTTCACACACGAAATGCATTTGTGATGGGTAAAGCCCAGATTTACGGGCCGGAAAAAAAAAATACTAGGAAATTCAAACAAAACCCGTAAAGTTTTCAGAATTTGGCAAGCGCAATCCTTGGATATATTTATTTTAAATGTCCGATAAACGGGTGTTAGTAGGCATTTATTAAAATGACTTAAAATATTATTTTAATTTTTTATTTAATAAATTGTTTTTATTAAATTCAAGAAAACAAAACATTTGAATAAGATTTAAATGAAAATAGGATAAAATTTTATTATATTTATAATTTATTTTTTTAATTAATAAAATTTTAAATATTATTTTTAATCATTTATTAAGTTCAATAAACGAATATAAATCAACAAAAATCAAATTTTATTCATGAATTATTCATCGAATGCTCTCTTCACTCATATTTTTACATTATAAACAAATTAAATATGAATAAATTTTATTATATTCATTTAATTAACGAATCCAAAAATATTATTTGTGATCATTTATTAATTTTAATAAACAAATAGCAACCAAATCAATTCACAAACCATTCATCTAATGTTTTATTTGTTTATATCCTTGTTTTCTCTAAATTTCATAACTAATGCATGAATGAATTTTATATCTTTTTTTGTATATATTTTATAAAATATTAATTAATTTTTGAAGTAGTTTCGAACAAAAGACAACTAAAAAACATATACATTTCATGTGGAATTATGGAATTGTTAGGTATGCTAGCATGTGTGAATGTATGTATATAAGTGATTATGCTTTATTAATGAATAATGATGAAGTTAAATATTTTCCCACATGGTATGCTTTCGATTGGGAATCTCTTGTCCAATCAATACTATAGGAGACTTTATAACACATTATCAATTGCAACTCTATCACACAATGATTAGAGCCTAACAAATGAGTAAATGGTTTAGTTGTAAAAGAAAAAGTGTGCTCGAATCTTAATTGGATTCATTCTCTAATAACTTTAATTTAAAAAAAGTCAATATAAATAAAAAAAGAAAAAAAATGTTGAAACAATTACAAGTTAACTTCAAACTTATTTTAGGGTTTGTAGAAAACTTTTATTTATAGTAATCTCACATAAGCATAAAAGATAAATAAATTGAAAAGATAGATAATTTAAATTTAATAAATGCATTTATTAGAAGAAATATGATAATTTTTAAGACAATTAATGTTATAAAATAAGTCATTTACATTGGATTTTTTTATTTTGTTAAAAATTTTAGTTTTTATAAATTTATATTAGATTTTTAAAAGAAAAAAGAAGAAGAAAATGAAAGGAAAATAAGAAAATAAAAGGAAATTTTGAAATATTTTATTTTCCTCAAATTTTAATTTTATTTTTAGGTAAATATTTATCATGAAAAAATTTACAAAAAAAAGCTTAGCCTAATATTTTATCTTTTTGTTTCTTTTTTATTTTCCTATATACAACAATTTTATTATTTAAATATTTTTTTAAATATCAATATTCAAAATTAAGGAAAAATTAAAAATGAAAAAAGAGAAAAATCAATGCAAAAGGAAAAAAAGAAGCAAAAGAAGAGTAGGAGGAAAATGTATTAATTTATATTATAATGATAAACTCTATAAATTTAAATACTTATAAACATAAAATTTTGTTATCATTATGCAAAACACTGTGATATTATGGATTTATTTTTTATTTTTAGGTTGTATGAGAGATATTTTAACATTGTTAAATAAAATTTTAAAGAATCAAATAAAATTTATCATTGAATTAAAAAATTATTATTTCATATTTACTTTGAAAAATAATTAAATTTATGATATATTTAAAAATTGAAATCCTTAAAAAAAAAAACCATATTATTAGTTATTTAAATGAAAAATATTAGTTAACATATTAATTTCAAGACTTAAGAATTTTAACATTAATTAATTTTTATTAAAATTAATTGAAATATACTTTCATTCATAAGTTATCTATTGATTTATTGAAAGACAGTCTCATCATTGTATTTGTAATAAATATTTTATTTCTCAGATGCATTAGCACAATTTACAGTTTTGATTATATTAACATTAACTTGTATTAAAATTTTTAATATGATTACATTTTTAAAAAAATTAAGAAAATTATACAAATTTTAATTAAAAATATAATAATTTCTATTAATAAAATAAAATTCTAAATATAACTCATTTAATTTATAAAATCAATTTAAATATCATTTAATAAATTTAAAATTTGAATATAAAAAAAATTTGCAGCCGCCTTTCTTACGGACTTTAATACGTAAAAAGAAGAAAGTAAACATCTTAGCGTGGCCCATGATTAACTGGATAAACATTTTAGGTTTGTTTTGTTTATTTCTGCAGTGGGCCGTGGGCTCTTAAACCCCAAGAAAACCCCAAATTCTTCGCTATAAATATTTTTGGAAGAAAAATCTTTGAAAAAGAAAAAGGGAAGTCTCAGCAAAATCAAATAACCATGTTTCTGTCGAGGTTTGTTGGGAGGACAGCTCTCTTGGCAGCAGCTAAATCAGAAAGTTCAGCTGCCGCCGCCGCCACTGCCGCCGCATCGGTAGCTGCTCCCACGAATCCTAACCCTCTTGAGCAGTTCTTTGAGGCTGATAGAAACCCTGATGATGAAAAACCTGTCTACGGTACAATCCTTGTTTACTTTTCATTTTGTTGATCCTGGGTTTTCTTTGCTTTCTTCATTTTTTTTTTCCAAATTCTTGTGAAAAAAAAAGCTGTTTGTATTGTTGTTTTTTTTTTTGTGCTAGAAAATAAATACCATATTCCGGAAATTGCGTACCTTTGCTGATGTCTTACCCATGTATGTCTGACAAATGAAAATGAGCAATTAGCTGGTTAGTTTATTAAACTATTTGAAATTTCAATGACAACATTTCAGTTGTGTTCACAATGGAAATCATGGAACCTTTTGGAGTTTATTATTCCTTGAATCCATTGCTATTGCTGATTTCAGTTATTTGCTCGTAATAAAGTATAAGCCATCAGAAATGCTCGAACAACATATCTTTGAACTTCTTTGGAACTTTGAAGCTTTGATTGCTGGTCCCACATTCATACTTGTTTATTTCACTGACTTAATGGTTTAGTGTTTCCGAAAGTTGGAGTTAAGGGTCCAAGGTAGTCATTTAATTTCTAATTGTAAAACAAATTGTAAGGGTTAATGGAATTTTAGATGCCATTTATTAGCACAAAAAAGATAACTGTTGATACAGTAGGTACCTGTTAAAAAAATCCTGATAACATTGACCTAATAGCAAAAATCAACTTTCTTGTGCTTAGTCTCATGAGCTACAGCTAAATTCTGTCTTAACCACTTTCATGCACATGGGAATTTAGTTGTGATATTGGAGTTGTAATTTAAGAAATATTCAAGTTCTTGCTGACTGTGGAGATCTTTTACTTGTCACTTTGGGTGAAAGATCATATTTATTGGTGTGTATGTGCAAATTTATATACTTCTTTCTGAAACAGATAAATCATCTGTCACTTTACTAAATTTGAATTCAAGTAATGCAGTTTATCTTTTGAAGTTGTTGGATAGTTGGTGCTGTTGGATATATTGCAATTTGGGATAAGTGTGATAGTTTCATTGGAGTTCATTGTTTAGTACTCTTGAGGATCTGGTGATATATGGTATCTAGGATAGACTGGATTGCCAATCACTGCAACGAGATTCATTCAACGTAGCTGTTTATCGACCAGAAATGCAGCTTCCTCAAGAATTACACCTTATTTTTTAATATTTGTTATGATTGGCTTGATCGTGAAGCAGTTCTTTCCACTGAATCTGTTTAGCTAATAAAGCATGTAACTACTGTTGCACTCTTAGATGAAGGATGCACTGATCTTGCATCATTTTTCACCTCCTAGGCTTAAACACAGAATTGGTTTTTTTTTTATTATAACATATGAACTCATAACACTTTCAGGATATATTTGCATCATACCAGATGGCTTAAGCAGACCCCCAAATAGTTAGCTTTCTGTTTCCTTTTGAGTTGGCGCAGAATAAAAGGAATAATTAATGATGTGATAGTATTAAATGTTGGCTCTCTTTTCCAGATAAGTAACTACAATTGCTTTTTCCTTATTTAGTGTAATGTATGATATTGCACCAAGAAAAAAGGAGTAATATATGATATGATTAATGTTTTAGTCTCTATTAGTTTTTGCTCTTGAATATACAAACTGGAGTTAGAAGTCATTTTTCACATAAGTAACTAATACAATGTAATTTTTTATGCCTAATTCTGTTCATGGTAGTAATGATATTCTATAGAAAGGTCAAAGAAATACATAATTTATTTCAAATTTTCAAAAAACATTTTTTCCCAAGCGCAACTCCCTGCCCCAAAAAGGGCAGGGCTGCATTTTGACACCTAAGCCCACTGATGTAGCTACTATGGTAATTGAAGTTAAAGTTCAACTGCTGTTCTGATTTGCCCAATTTTATCTCAAAATTTCATTGCTTGTCAGGTCGTAGTTGGAAAGCTTCTGAACTGCGCCTAAAGTCTTGGGATGATCTCCATAAACTATGGTATGTTCTTTTGAAAGAGAAGAACATGCTGATGACTCAGCGTCAGATGCTTCATGCCCAGAATCTTCGGTTTCCAAATCCAGAACGCATTCCCAAGGTATATTCCTGTTGCTTTTGCTTGTCATTTGACATACTATGTCATTGTTGTTGCTAAAATATTGTCAAATGTTTGATTGATTATACAAAGACTATTATGAAATAAATTACCATCTTTCAGTACCTAGAAATACTGGGATATTTTCATTTAAGTGAAAAACAAATGGTTAAAAGATCTTAAAATGAACTACTCATATATGGATTTTCCTTGTAGCTTACCTATGGAACAATCAAATTTGTTTTGGAATATTTTCAGAAATTATGCTCTGCATTAGTCTTCTTGATTTTGCATAGAATGGACGGTCAGACTTGTTTTACCCATTAACTAGGCAAAGAATTTCTCAGGGATAGGATACCAGATCCACTTTGAGGTTTAAGTTGAGTGATAAGGATATCTATTAGTGAATAAGATTTTGCTACCTTCTCATAGCAAGCACCTCACTCTGTTTTGTGATCAATTTGGCATCCCAACCTACTTTCCAACTAACCATAGAAGCTATTGGGGATCTCTATATCCACTCAGGTTTTTTTGTGCCCCATTGCCATTGCCACCAGCTTTTTTTTACCTTATGCTGTCAACCGTGTGTTTATAATGATCATGAGTGTAGAGGTGTTCTTCTGGAAGAGAAAGGTAGTCTTGCAAGTAAAACGGGATATAAAGAGTGTGGAAGAGAGGAAGACTAGAGCAGATCCTGAAGCATCGAGTGCTTTGGTCGGTGGCTGAGCAAGATTTAGAGAATAAGGAGTATTAAAGGGAAGAACAAGGGAAGGGAAGAATGTAGAGAGAACTTAGAGAGGATTGCAGAGAGAATTCTAGAGAGAGAGTTTTTGAAATAGCCAAGGATCACCTCAAATGAATTGATGTAGTTAATGCAAGCCAAAGAAGGATGCAAGCTCACCAGGCATTAAAGACTTTTCTTGTAGGTGTTAAGGTTATTGGTGGTTGTTCTGAGGTTTGTGATAGCACACTTGGCAGTGTGAGTGTGCCACGTGTACTGAAAGGGAAGCATTGATGTAATTCAAGGAAAGTTAAGACAAAGACCTCTTAACTCTCTCCATGTCTGAGCCACCAAGCCAAACACTAACATCCGAAGAGTGGAATTAACTCAGGAACCTTACCACTCATTCTGGGGTTACTTCCACTACCTCTGTATGGCGAAGTAACCTTGTTGCTTGTTATGGATTACTTTCTTTGCTCCATGCGGTAAAGGAATTTTCTGTTAACACAAATTTTTACTAGTACCAAGAGAAGATATATTGGGAACTAAAATCAAGTGTCTACAATGGGCTCTGAACATCAGGTTTGGGATCCCTTCTTATAAAATCTCTAGTTAGAGGTTCAAATTCTTTTTCTTTTTTCTTTTTTATTTTTTTGGTTCAAAAGGTTCAAGTTCTTGATATACCTACTTTACAGCATTTACACTTTTTTACTAACTTTCTAAAGCATATATAGGTTCAACTAGTGAATTGTTGTGACATGAACTGTTTTAGCAAGTGGATGAAAGTTGTTGACATCTAATTAATGTGACTGACCGCATCATAACAAACAAATTTGATGGGTTCTCTGGGTGGTTGGTCAAGGGTGGCAAGACATAAATGGTCATTTCCATTCACTTCTTGGTTCTGATGGATTAGGTGGCCAGCTGTGGGAAAAATTAGAATTCCTTCCCCATGATCAATGTATTCATTTATATGCAAGTTTTGCTATCTCTGAAATCCTTAATATAATTAATATTTCCGTCTGTCCTTTGTAAGATCTGGTGGACTGTAAACACTGATGTACCAAAGTTTCCCGTTAAATGCTGCTGAAAATGTTAGTTGAAGGTTTTTGAGCCTTATAAGAGAGCCAGTGTGTGCCTATATTAACCCACTGTATCCTGAAAGGTCTGAAATCTGAGATGACTTGTATCAAGCAAACTATTTGAAATTTCTTAATCAGAAATATACCAGTATTAAATGCTTCCTTTAGTGGTATATCAACTCTAAAGAAGTCCTTAGCACATAAACTCATTTTAGGGAATTATGTGGAGGAGCAGAATTTAAGAACTAAATGGCCCATGGACTTCTTAAAGGCCTTGGGTTTAGGGGGTTTTCGAGCCTTGATATTAGACAGTTAAGTGTATTAATATCATGGCATGAATGTCATGGTATATTATCTTTTTTGTGCTTGGAACTCTCCAAATTGGTAATTTAAAGCTAAAGTGCCTTGTGAGAGTCCCTTCTCTAGTTATTACTTGATATCTATTTAATTGGCAGTGTAGATTTTTTTTTTTTTTTAATATTTCATTGCCAGTTGGGAGTGGTTCTGACTGAGAAGACCTGGTGAATTCATCAATGCTGATTACTGACTTGGTCTTGGAAGTTCGAATTTAGCAAAAGTGATTTTCCTTTCTACCTTCAACTATGGATTGAATTTGGTGATGGTAATTTGGAATTTATTGATAAGTTAATATTTAGTTCGTGTGGTTGATAATATTGAAAAAAGTTCAGTCTTCTGATCTCAAATTTCATGTCTATGAGCAATATTTTTCTCGCAACTAGGTTATCTTATTTCAGACTACTACTCATAATATTTTCTGTGTATTTTCATTTTTGATAATCCTACTCGCTAATACTAAAAATTTGAGTGCAATCATTTGTGCTTCAAGTTCCCAATTTTTAATACTCCATCATTTAGGAAGCAGATTTTGCTAACTGGATTTTTTGTTGTTTAGGTAAGGAAGTCGATGTGCCGAATCAAGCATGTACTTACTGAAAGAGCAATCGAAGACCCAGATCCCAGGAGGTCTGCAGAGATGAAGAGGATGATAAATGCTCTGTGATATTGTACTAAACTGCTTATCTTTTCTTGCTGGAAAATGTTATGCTCCCTTTTTTTCTTTTCCATGTGTAGGACTGCATCCTTCCATTATTGCATCAAAGATCTTAGGTGGCCATCTCTTTAGGAACATTATTAGCGTTTTTTTCTGTTGTGAGATGGCACATATTCAATATGGTAGGGATATAATTCATCAACAACATAACTATGTTTATCAGGATTAATACAACATTATTGCAGGCAGGTTGTCTGTACCTGGGTGAGAACCATGAAATCTAACTCCTAATCTTATTTCTTTTTTACACTTCTTTCTCTCTTTAAAATTTTCTAATGTTTGAATATCAAAGTTTCATAGCTGCAACCAATGAATAATTTTCCTTTTTATGTAATAAGGAGGATATTCATTTTTTTAATATTTAACTTAAAAAGTTCATTTAATTCATTAATTTGAAATTAATCAAACTTTATTTAGTCGGAAAAATCAATAATTCAAACTCATTTAAATTAAATCTGAAATAATTTAAAATTAAAATTATTCGAATCCAAACAATATAAAACGATGCTGGAAAGGATCAAAAATTAAATTATTTTTGCGTTAAAAATTTTTAAATTAAGCTGACTTTACTTTAAAATTCAGCAAATTAGACCTAAAGTTATTTGAATTATAACAATTTGAATAACAATTAAAAAATCAAATTTACAATGACTCAAAACTTAATTTGAACTTGAAACAATTTAAAATAATTTGATTCGATTCATTTCGTTTAATTTGTCACCTTAATATATCTTTATATGGTTTTGTAAAATTTTATGTTTATCATTAGCTACCTTTTAAAAATATTTACCATATATTCCTACGTTACATGATCCATTGACATATGGTGTAAGTGTCGATAGGAGAAATCTCTTTCAACTAAATCTAAAACATGCTACCTATAAGGGGCTGATTGACTTCTTGGGCGAGATTTTTCATGCTTAAACTTATCATTTCACATGAAAATATCAAAGAACATGAGCCAATAGGTGGCCCTTACATGAACATTCTTGTTAATTGTATGACTGATAATTAGCGAAAAGTAGACAGTGAAATTGTTTGAAAAATGGCGAATAGTAAATAGGCTCTTACCAAAAGGTTAAATCAAGATGATAAATCAAAAGCGGTGAACCATATCTTGTCGACTCAGGTCGTAGAAGGCCATCCTTAATTACAATTGCAAGATTAATAAAATTCCTTCAACTATATTCTTTTAATTGCAACCTTCAAGGTTGATGAAGGTTTAACAAGCGAATAGTTTCTACAAGCATTGTCGAATGTGGAAACAACTAATACATGTGACTAATTTCATGATCATCATAAACAAATGATTTCTCTGGGTGAAGGTAAATTGACAATTCTTTTTCAGAGGGAATCTTTTATTTAAAGTGAAAAGTAAAAAAAAAAATTTAAAAGAAAATTTTTTTAAGCATTTTTAAAATTTTCTCTTGAACATCTCAAAGAGCAAAAAACAAACAAATTAAAAAATTTTTTTTTCGTCTTATATTCTAAAATTTTCTCATAAACATAATTTTAATTGATAAAATTGATTAATATGTAAGACATTATATATATTATAACCCTAAAAAAAATCCATAATACGCCTATGATCTTTCCTTTCTCTTCTTGCTGTGATTGATGTAACCATTTACATGTAAGTTCTGCTCTCTCACGTGTCCTTGACATCATTAATATATATATATATATATATATATATATTTCTGTCTGTCCTTACAGTAAGATGCATGTGGTGGACTGTAAACACTGATGTACCTAGATTCGACCCCTACTACTTAATGCTGGTGAGAACGTTAGGAGAAGGTCTTTGTGCCTTCTAAGAGAGCCAGTCCTTGTCTACATATGTTACCTATTGCGGGATCTGAATTGTTAGATGGACTATTATATCAAGAAAACTACCTGAAATTTCTTACTATCATGAAAATTTAACTATTTATGTATATCGAATTTATTTTACATTAAATATATATAAAATATAAAAATTATCATATTAAATTAATAACATGTTACATAAAAATTTTTTTACTAAATTTATATATAATTTTTATTAAAATTTTAAATAACGTTTACTTTCATACACGGTAGACTTGTTCTAAAGAAGTCATGATCCCATGGACTAGTGACTTCTATTTTGTGAGCAGTGCGGATGTTTGCCCTATTTTGATGCCGGTTGAGAGGTTTGAGGGTCTGACTGATATTGAAGAGATTTTCCTTTCAACCTACGTCCTCTGATTGCAGTTGGATCATTCTAATTTATTTATAAGGTAATTTTTATTTTTTGGGGTGATAATATATTCAGAATTTTCTCTGAAAAGCTTTACTCTTTTAATCTGGTTTATTTTTCCATTGACTTTCAAATTCCAGCAGTCTACAAGCTATAATTTACTGAAAACTATGTCACTTCAGACTACTCATTATGTTCTCAGTGCCTTCATCATAATTTGATGATCTCATATGCTGATTGAGTGCAATTAATCTTTAGCTGAGTGAGGACTCTTGAAGGCTTATTTCCCATTTATACTTCATTCTCACTTGAAAATTTTCAAATGTTGAGTATCTGAGTTTTGTAGTGACTGTTGAGATTGTTATCTCAATCTTCAAGCTAGCCTTTGTTACCATAAAAGGCACACAAAAACAAGAGTAACAATTAGAAATGACTACAAGAATGTTCAATGAGAGTCCGTGGACATCAGTATCCTTTGTACTCTGAACAATACTTAATTCCCAAAGTTATTGGATATGCCCTGGATACCAAAGAAGCCAATGGATTATTATTTTGCCTGTGTACTGCCTACACATTTTAAGCAGTGATTCATAAAGCTGTATGTCATTTCAAGAAGGCAATTCCCCAATGAAAAGAGCAAAGCCTTTTCTATCAGTTTGTGAGATGACAAGGACAGGTAATAAAGTCGAAGTTGGTATCATATTCCGCTAGATGGCTATACATATATAAAGTTAATGCAGGATATATAGATCGATCCACCCCAATGATCCAGCCTGCTCATTGGGCACACTTGTATTTTAAACATACTCAGCCGCAGGACTAGTCATTTTCAGTAGTCAGTTACCTCGCAAGCATTTAGGCTTTCCTTGTCTGTGCTTTTTTAATCTTCATTTTGTGATCTTCACTGTCAAACCAGGGCTCCACACTCCACTGTCAAACAGGATAGATCTGTTTAGGCTTGAAAGCTCCGCTCTGTTAAAGAATAAATGTTGAAATTTTTTTTCAAATAGATATTCTGTTTCCTGTTGTTATGAACTTTTGGTCAACTCCTATTCGGAGGGAAAGATTTAGACGAAATTTTACAAATAAAGTTTGCAAAATTTTTACTAGAAATGAGTAAATAAAAATTAAAATAAAAAATCAAAACGTGATACCCAACTCAAATGATAATTGAGCTAGACTAATACCAAAGTACATCAATTTATTAAGAGATTAATTAATAAAAAAAAATTGAGTTATTAAATAAAAAAAAACCTAGCTATCGAGAAATAAAAAAGAAATGAGAGTTTTTTTTTCTCATCTTCTTTAGGGTTAGAGAATATAAAAGAACAAGTTGACGATTCAAAATCAGATGCTACAATCAAGTTAATCCTTTAAAGGTGAGTATATACCCTCTTTTTATTTAAGAAGAAATATTGAGTTGATTGCTATTATTTGGAGTTGAAGTGTTGAGAGCAAAACCAAGAAAAATTATGAAATCTTTCATTAATCTTCATGATTTATTTGAGTAAATTACTGGACTTTGTTTATTTTATGTTCTTAAGATTTATTGATGATTATTGAATAGAGTTTAAAGGCTAAAAGTGAGGATTTGAGTTTTTAAAGATTGAAGGAAAAATTCTATTTTTAGATGAGATGCTATGATCTACAATACTAAATTAAAATAGGATTCTATATTAATGGATAAATTATCTCTATGATTATTATATATCGTTGGAAAGCATGTTGAATCTACTTTCTAATGAAATAAATAGAAGTCAAATCCAAATTTTTTATGGAGAGTTGTCTAATTTTTACGTAAGTATATGCAGGCTGTAAAGCAGTAGCATCAAGGTTGAATTACGAAAATTATCTTAATTTTTATACAAGGATTTACAGGTAAGCTATATATGTTTGAAAAGCTTATTGAGTCTACTTTCCAAAAAAAAAAAAAAAGCGAAATTGAATTTGGAGTTTCCTATAAATAAATACGTAATTTTTATGAGAATGTATACAGGCTGTCTAGCAACAACATCTAACGTGGATTGCAAAAATTGTTATAATTAATCCACAAAAAATCACGAGATGAGTTGGATATGGTTAGAAAGCTTATCGAGTCTAGTTTCTAACGCATTAAAAAGATTTTAATTCCGAGTTGGATATTTTGAGATATGATCATTTTAGTGAAAGTAGTACAGGCTGCTAGAATTAGTTACTTGAGTTTTTTCTTGTTTAACTTAGTTATTTTGGTATAAATGATTTCAAATGGGTTGATTAATTACTGTTTGTTGAAATTATCTTGAATAGGCCATTAATTATTTTAGGAGAAAAACTAAATGATGGAATCGAAAAGAAGTAAGAAGAATCTTATACACTTTACTTGTTTTCGAAACTATGTATATATATATGTTTCTAAATGAATGAATATTTTATTTCATTATTTTTTATGTATGAAAATAAGATCAAGCATATGATTATTTTGTATTTCTTTATATAAATGATAAATCATACTTATGAATGAAATGAGAAAATGATTTATGTTTAAAGAATAATTTTATGATGGTTACATTTTTATATCTCTAAGAAGTGAGATCATCGACATAAGAACTAATTCTACAGCCCTGGCTAACGGGTTATAGTAGTTAGCATAGATATAATTATACAGCACTGCTAACGAGTTATAGTAGTTAGCGTAAGACTCTGGCTAGCGGGTTATAATAGTTAACAATGATCATGAGAATAAAATTATCGATACAGCTAATGTCATGGGTTATAGCAGTAACCGTAGCTAATGATAAACGATTGATAATGATGATTTACGATGATTTTTAATGATTGATCTATGATTTGGTTTGATTACGATATTTGAATGATAAGATATTTTGTAATGATTTATGAAGTGACATATTTTCACATTGATTTATGAATTTATGAAATATTTGACAAAACGATGATTTTGAAATGTTTTGACATTATGATTTGACAAATATTTTGAATGATTTATATGATATGTATGAAAATAATGCTTAATCCGGTAAGGTACGTGAGCCT